AAGTGATTTACTCTTGATGTACTTTCATTTAACTGATTCTACACAGTTAAATTAAAATCTCAACAGTTTAAAAACAAAGCTGTACAAACTACCGTTTTTTAACTCCTTAAAAGAGTCAAGTATCATTACCACTTTTATGTATTACATAAAAGTGTCAATGTACGAAACAAGAAAAAAAATTAAAAGACGACCAAACTGAGTTTCAAATTTACTTGTAACCAAGCACTCATCAATTTAGGTTATAAAATTCATGAACTACTCAGGACAATTGCCTGGGTACTGTCCATTCAGAGTAAAAACGGGTTTTCATGGTGTTAAAGAACTAGATGGTACAACTCAGGGCATCTTCTATATTAAAAGAACTAACCTCACCAAGTATATCTTGGATTTAGTTCTACTGAACTTATAATACCTTCAATTAAAATCTGATCTTCTCAATTCTGCAGTCAACACATCAACAAAAAGACAAAATGGAAAAGTCAATCCCTGGTACTACCCAACCTTGGGATAATCACTTCAAAACCACCACTCTGAAATCACTTTGCAATGCTATATCCTCCAGCAGCCAAAAGCATCCTTAAATACAGGCATACCTTGGAGATATCGTGGGTTCAGTTCCTGACCACAGCTATAAAGCTAATATCACAATAAAGCATGTCAAATTAATTTTTTGGTTTCCCAGGGCGTATAAAAATTATGTTTACACTACACTGTAGTCTATTAAGTGTGCAAGAAGCATTACATCTTAAAAAAAATAATGTACATACCTCAATTGAAAAATATTGCTAAAAAATGTTAACGATCCTCCGAGCTTTCAGCAAGTAGTAATAACTGATTGTAGATCACCATAACAAATACATTGATTAAAAGAAAGCCTAAAGTATTTCTAGAATTACCCAATGTGACACAGAGGCATGAAGTGCACAGATGCTGTTGGAAAATGGCGCTGACAGACTTACTCAATCCAGGGTTGCCACAAACCATCAATTTATAAAAACCAAAATACCCACGAAGCACAGTAAAGTGAAGAGCAATAAAACCACGGTATGCCTGTACAAATACTCTTCAAGAGTTAAGAGTGGGGTAAATACCCAGGAAACTTCCAAATATTAAATAGATGCCACACTAAGAATCTATTTCTGGTCTGAAATTAGCTCACAACTTCGGTGCAACAATTAAAGCAGTAGTTCCTTATACTCATAACCTAATCTCATGTCAAACAGATCATTGAAGAAACTGGCCATTTTAAGTTGCAAAAAAATAAATACTGCTTTTATAATGTTCTCTTTGACTACTCACAACTCAGTTGTTTGCTATTTAACCGTGGAGTCAATTCTGATTCCGTTCACCACCCCCCCTCGAAATTTCAATGTCTTTACGTCCTTTTGAATTTTAATAAATTGCACTTCTAAACACAAATTAACCATTAACAGTATTTAGTTGTTCCTAAAAATTAAAGTGTATTGTAATCCATTAAATGTACCAAGAGAAAAGGTATCTTTAGCAAGAAGTTGAACAGACTAGTTTCAGCACATAAACATCTTGATTCTAATTTACCACTTTCAAACGTCCTGCTTTATAGACAATCCTTCAATTAATAATGTTCTCCATGTAACTCTACATAAATGTAATTTATTGTAAAACAGAAACGCGAGTTTTACAACGTTGCTCCCCCCAGGTTAACTAAAAATAGACCCTACTAAGCTTTAGAGTATTTCCAAACCAACAAGTCCTCCAGCCTTCCACGGGGAGTTAGTTACCCGGCACGGCACCAGCTCGCGCAGAGAATTCCCCATAAGGGTCGAAGTGAAAGCACATACGTAGACTTCTGTCAACCACTCTTTAACCTAACGCGCAGGTATTTAAGGGTAACAAATAACTTAATATACACTTACAAAAATCACTTGTGCTAATTCACATTAAGAATTTTAAATTACCTTCTCCTTGAATACAAAGGCAATATACATCTTGAAGTCAAACTGGTCAGCTAGAGATTCTTTTTTCTTTCTAAGCTGAGCACGTAGTCTGTTCAGAGCTTGTTTCTTCCGGGAGTTTGGGTCCCCCATTTTGAAATACAGGTGGTACTAAAGCCTTTGGAAATTGTCACTAAACTATGGGCACTTTTTCTTAAGACTCAAGTACAACAGAAACAAGTCATTTTTTTTTCCTGCTAATATGATTGAATAGCTAAAATCACGACTGTAACCCAAAAACTGCACCTTCTGGCAATATTAGCAGACTGTCATATTACAGGGTCAAGAAACAAAAGCTGCTGTCCAGTCATGTTTGGACAATAACGTTTGGGGTTATGGGGAAAGAGGAAGGGGAGGAAGGAAAGACAGAGAGGAGAAAATACTTGGAACTAACTTTTTGGAAAACGCATTTGGCTTAAATGCCAAAATAAAGGCTTTGGGGGGAAATGAAAAGCCTATTATCAGGATTTAGGTGTGCAATAAAACACAGCTGACACCAGTCCAATTCTTCAAATCCATCCGGATTTTTCCCCCTCTTTAGAGAAGGGATTAACCGGGGGAGGGGGGGGGAGTGTAATGATCCCTGCTTTCCAAATACCAAAACAAAAAAATTATAAAGGGGGGGGAAAGAAAAAACCCAACCCCCCCCCCAACACCAAAACAGGGTAGGTGAAGGAAACCGAAATATCCAATTGGGTTTTACCCAGCCAGATCCATGGCTGCAGTACCTAATCAATTCTTAAGTTATTCCAGATTTCACTATTGCTATGTATTGCCAGTGCTTGTTATTGATTACACTTGGTGGTGAGCAAAGAGAAAAGTGCAAAATCGGTAGAGAAGGAAGGGGAGAGGTACAGGGTTTCCCTGCAATCAACTACAGTGTATACCGGGGGCGGACAGGTGTTGCCCAAAGGAGCCATGAGAAGAAACAGCGGAGTCATTACCAACTTCCCCATCACCCACATTTTCACCCTCAGGCGACTGCTAATGCTGCTGCCATGGAAAATCATGATGGCAGAGAGAAAGGGGGTATATAACACGATATAACAGTTATTCCGGCTCTTTGGCTGGACCTGATTAATGCCCGGGATCCCAACACCCCCAGCCCTGCAAGGAGTCCTACATTCCCCAAGGGAGCCTTCCCTAGGAATCTGGCCCCGTTCAAGATCGTGGGGAGTGCGACTTATCTTCTTGCGAGCATTGCTGAGGCAAAGGCGGTGGGCTCTTCTCCCAGACAGATCCCAGGCAGCGCCCAGGGACCACCTGCCTTCCACCCCCCAGGTCCCACCCCCACCCTTTGCCTTCAGCGGCAGCGACTCACTCGCACCACGGGAGACACAGGATCACTCGGGTTTTCACTCATTTCATCGTGGAAACAATTCCCGCCCGGGTAGAGGAGGCGGGAGAGGGAAAATGGGATGGATCAGTGGGAAAAAAAGAAAATAGTTGTGTTAATATGAATTACTTTTTAAAGTA